AATGCATCACCTCAGACTTATCAAGATTAAATTCCATCTGCCATTTGTCTGCCTAATTTACCAGCTAACTGAAATCAGACTGTAGCCTGAGACCATGCTCCTCACTATCTACAACACTCCTAATTTTAGTATAACTGCAAAGTTACTAATTAATTTTTGTGTATTCACATCCAAGTCATTAATGTATATAACAAACAGTTCTGATCTCTGTGGTACATTGCTGGTCACAGGCTTCCAATTACAAAAAACAACCCTTCACCATCACCCTTTGCCTCCTATTTGTAAGCCAATTTTGGATCCAGTTTGCAAACTTGCCTTGGATCCCTGGGGCTCTTACCTTTTAGACCAGCCTTCCATGTGAGACCTTGTCAAAGGCCTTACTGAAGTCCAAGTAAGCCACATTAACTGCACTACCATCATCAATATATTTAGTTACCTTTTCAAAAAACTCAATTACATTAGATAAGATTTCCCTCTAACAGATCTGTGCTGACTATCCTTGATCAATCCCTGCCTTTCCAAGTATTGATTAATCCTGTCCTTTAGAATTTTTTTTCCAATAATTTCCCTATCACTGACGTCAGACTAACTGGTCTGTAATTAACTGGCCTACCTCTGCTGATCTTCTTGTATAAAGGAACCACATTAGCTATTCTGCTGTCATCTGGCACTTCATATATGGCTAGTGAAACATCAAATATATCCATGTCAGCACCAGCAATGCCCCCCTGCCGCTCCCCCATTAGCTCCTGTAGCAGCCTGGGATACACCTTCTCAGGCCCTGGGATTTCTGCACCTGTTGCGTGGTGTTTCTAAATAATTCAATGTATCAGCTTCAAATCCTGCCTCAGGGTTTTGTCATAGTTTCTTGACTGACGAGGGATTGAAAGGGTATAGGGAGCAGACAGGAAAGTAGAATTGAGTGCACAATCAGACCACAATCTTATCAAATGGCAGAGGAAGCTCAAGGGCTTAAGAAACCTAAACCCGCTCCTAACTGATGCATTTGTATGTCCCACCGATACTCAGTAAACAGGCTCAATTGGAGGGTGCTTTCATTTGTGTTCATTTTTGTGTTTTCCTTAAAAGGTAGGCCCATTTATTTTATGGATAGAGAAACTATTCACTATATAAGTTACTGAAATACTACTTCAAAAACAGAAAGCAAAGGGGATCATTCTGCCTCAGAATACACTTCCAAGACATAAGTTTGATTGTCTTTTCCTGCTATGAATTGGCCAGTTTGAAAACTTGCGTAACTAAATAAGGGTCTAGGCCCGAAACGTCAGCCTTCCTGCTCCTCTGATGCTGCTTGGCCTGCTGTATTCATCCAGCTCTACACCTTGTTAACTAAATAACCAAATTGGTTTATTGTATGTTTACCTACCTGCAGAACACGCATAGAATGAGCTCCATTTCAGCATTCTACTGTGTCAGAAGAGAATTGGCCGACACCTAGGCTGTAGAATTCCTCAGAGAAAGTAATATTGCCTATACATTAGCTAAAGTTTTACTCCGCCAAAAGTTCTTTTAAGACAAGCCCACTTGTTTAAGCCTAAGCGAAATGTATAGCATTTTAGAATTCTGTTGACACTGGGAGTCCCGCCAGGAATCATAAAACCCACAACCACTTGATCTAAGCCACTCCTGTAACATTAAAGTTGGAAATTTTGCACTTCAGATTGGCAGTATGCTACGCTCTGACAGAAGTGGCGTGATTCTGTCTCCCAGTCGTATCCTTCCTATCCCTTAACCCTCCATGGTAGTCTGTTACATCAAAGCCTTATATCGAGACTAGCCTGCTGTTTTTAATTTAGGGCTTCTTGATTTATTCCACAAGTATTAAACTTGTACTTTAAAACTTCTTGAAGACAGCATTACATTTCTAAACATCCATAGTGGAACAGGTTTTTATGTAAAATGGTGACTGCTCACATGTTTGTTGAAGGAATGCTATGATAGTCAAATGAACATCAATAGAATTTTGATATGTTCGAACCATATCAACGGCAAACAGATTTCTTCCAGTAACTTTCTCGCTCTGGAATTGTTTATCATTTTAATTCCTTTTCTACATTTTTATTTGTTCATGGGTTATGAATGTCGCTGTGTAGGTCACATGACCCAAACCTAATTACCCTTGAGAAAATGGTTCTGAGTTATTGTTTGGAACTGCTACAGTTCCTATGGTATAAAGTATACCTACAATGCTGTTGTGATGGTGATCCAGGTTTTGGACCCAGTGACAGTGAAAGAATGGAGATATAGTTCCAAGGCAGGATGGTGTGAGACTTGAAGGAGCACTTGTAAAAGGTGATGATGCCAGTGGCCTGCTGTCCTTCTAAGTGTGGGTTTGGAAGGTACTGCTTAAGGAAGCTTGGTGCATTACTGCAGCACAACCTGTGGATATTGTACAAGGCTATCATTGTGCACCAGTGGTTAAGGGAGTGAATGTTTAAACTGGAAGATGGAATGCTAATTAAGTGAGCTGCTTTGCCTAATTATGTTAAGCCTGATTATGTTGAGTGTTGTTGGAGCTGCACTTGTTTAGGCCAGTGGGGAGTATTGCATTTTACTCCTGACTTGTGCCTTATAAAACCATAAGATTTAGGAACAGGACTTGGCCATTCGACCCGTCGAACCTCCTCCACCATATAATAGGATCTGACATTCCTCATGTTCACTTCCCTGCCTTTTCCCCAAAACCCTTGAAAGCCCTACTGATCAAGAATCTATCTATCTATCTCAGATGATAGACAAATTTTGGGGAGTCAGGAACGGAGTTGCTCTCTGCAGAATTCTGGCCAAGCCTTGTAGCCACAGTATTTAAATGGCTGACCCTGCTCCATTCTGGTCAGTTGTAACCTTAGGATGTTGATAATGTGAAATTCAGTAATGGTAAAGTTGTCCAGTGTCAAAGGGGAATAGTTAAGAGTCATAGACACATCTGCCACGGGGAAGAGATTCTCCCAATCTACTCTGTCCATGCCCTGTCATAATTTTGTGTACCTCAATCAGATCGCCCCTCAGCCTCCTCTGCTCCAAAGAAAACAAACCCAGCCTATCCAGTCTCTCTTCATAACTAAGACTTTTCAACCCAGGCCAACATCCTGGCGAATCTCGTCTGCACCCTCTCCAGTGCAATCACGTCCTTCCCATAGTGTGGTGACCAGAACTGCACGCAGTGTTCCATCTGTGGCCTAAGCAATGTTTTATAAAGTTGTAACAAGACTTCCTAACTCCTAAAATCTGCACCCTGGCTGATGAAGGCAAGCATCCATATGCCTTCTTCACCACCTTGCCTACCTGTGCTGTCACTTTCACAGATCCATGGACTTGTACACCAATGTTGTTGTGTTCCTCATCCTCGATAGGGACCTACAATTCATTGTGTATATCCTTCTCTTAGTAAATATCCCAAAATGCATCACCTTGCACTTATTAAGATTAAACTCCATCTGCCATTGCAATTTACCAGCTGATCAATATCAGACTGTAGCCTGAGACCATCCCCTTCACTATCAACACCACCACCAATTTTCTTGTATACTCCTATTTTCTATATGGCTACATTGCACTAGCCATAAATTGTGGAGAGAATGAGATTTGTAGGAGTGAAATAAAAGAGATATAGATTGTGTTGAAAATGTGAAAATACTTCTCCCTCAATCCGGTTGAAGTTAGTAACACAACTACTGGATCTGATAAAAACAGAAGATCAGCAAAAACAGACAATGCATAGAGTCCATCAACATTTGTAAAAGAAAGATACTAATGGATCTGCAGTGTTTCTGATTTTATTTCCATTTCAGATTTCCAGTATTGATGTATTTTTCTTTTTGTTTCTGCTGATGGATATTTTTGCAACAAATTTGCACAATCCCAACTGGCTGCCACATTTGTCTGCAAAATAATAGTATCTATACTAAAAAATTAATTAGTTGGCTACAAAACAATTTGACATAGTTTGAGGATGTGGAAAACAGCTGTAAATGCATCTTCTTTCAAAAATAAATACTTTCTCTCTGGGCTCATGAATAGACCTTTAAATGGAATGCACAGTGGAATAAAGTCGGTCTTGTAGCTCTCTCTCTGGAAAGCAACTGTCATTTCCATTTCTGTTTTGCTTCTGACTGAAATTGGAAGAGAAGCTGGTTTGTTGGTTTCTGTGAGCTTGCAGCAATGACATTTGACTGTTGATGGAAGTCCTCTGCAGCCAGATTTCCAACTTTACAGTAACTACAATGTAAGTCTTCATAAAAGCTCCAGCTACAAGTACGATAGGTGGGAAATGAAGAAATACAGCAGCCATGTGGGCTGCAAAACTAATGGCATCTAATTGCGTGCCCAGTGCCCCCTGCTAACTTCAGTGAATATTATTCTTTCAACTGCCATTTCAAGCCATGAATATTCTCTCAACAAGAATAAATCCAATTCTGAACAGATCTACTTGAAAGCTTAAGACCAGCTGTTATGTAGTGAAAATTCTCACTCATGCACTGGAGGTTAATGTGCACAAAACGAAGCTAATATTCTTTCTTTCCTCCCCTAGTGTTGTTGTTAATTCTGGCTGCCTATTCTTCCACAGGCACTGGTAGCCTTTTGGCACTTTGCCTAAAAAGTAGCCGATCCCTTATGAGCCAGGAAAATAATTATTAAACTGGAATTTCATGTTGGATAATGTGTTCAATATTCATACAGTTGTCCTTTTTGCCAGGGTCGCTGAGACCAGTCAGGAACTGGAAGCCTGGTTTATTACCTCTTTTACATTCCTCAGTTTCTAGGCCTCAGGTCATTGTATAGCATTTAACAGGTGCTGTGTTTAAGAACAACCAACTCTTTATAGGCTTTCACCTATTCATCGGACAATCAGTTATACTATTGTGTTTTACTATTTCTATTCAGTAGAAGGAGCCACACCAGGTAATAAGATACATTGTTACTTTCAGCAGAATTTTAAGAATTTCAAAAATATCGTATTTTGTATTTTCCTCTCGTAGAGATTTGAAACTGGATAATGTTCTGTTAGATTCTGAGGGACACTGCAAACTGGCTGACTTTGGAATGTGCAAAGAGGGAATCTATAATAACTGCACAACTGGGACCTTCTGTGGTACACCTGACTACATTGCACCAGAGGTGGGTAAAATCCAACCGAAAATCCTTTCCCATGTGCTATTTGGGTAGAAATCCAGTTAGGAATAAGAATAAACACACCACTGGGTACTAACATCTTTGCTACATTGAATCCTTCGTACTCAGTCTTATCGCTCTTTCAAAAGCTTGCGCCTACAGATTTGTGGTGCTGTCAATATTGAGTTTCGATCTGAGGTAAGCACATCATGACCTTGGCTTATTCGTATGATTTGATCTGTTATGAGTAGAATTTAACGCCTCCTATGTGACAAGTTTGATGCCGTGAGAGGAGGTGGAGGCATTTTAATGGGAGCAGGTAGCAGGTCAAAACTCTGGAGTTAGAATGAAGGGCGCAAATTACAGTGCTGTGGGGGCAACTCAACATATAGTGGGGGAGACATTTCAACACGGGAGAGTTTAGTGTTGTGATTGGAGGAAGAGGTGATTGTTGACTGCACCTTGGATTCCATGATGGTTGGGGGGGCGGGGGTGGGGAGGTGTGGGGGGCTGGTGGTGTTGGCGGGAGTGCGAGGGTGGGGCAGTGCGCTACCAGACCCGGCATGTTTACTTGATATGTCTGGGCTAGTGGTTGGGAGGGGGGAGATAAAGGTAGCAGATGTAGACTCAGACCATTTGGTTGGGACTTAGAATCTCTGCACTGTGGAAGCAGGCTATCGAGTCCCTACCAACCCTCCAAAGACCTTCCACACCCCCCTACCCTATCCCTGTAACCCCGCATTTCCCTTGGCTAAGCCACCTAGCCTGTAAATCCCTGGACACTATCGGCAATTTAGCATGGCCAATCCACTTAACATGCACATCTTTGGACTGTGGGAGGAAACTGGAGCACCCAGAGGAAACCCATGCAGACGTGCATACACTGAAGCCGAAACCCAGCCCCAAGTCATACATCTCTCCAAATTTAGGCATTGGCCTACAGTGTGAAGTCCAAATCCTTGCCCCAACCTCTCCTGACCATATCATGTAAGATAATGGCTGAAGCCCATTCATGACTTTGATGTGCTGCTCTTTTCATACCTTGGACCCTGGAACATCATGTATTTCTCAGGATGACTAGCCTCTGTACCTTCAATGTTACAGTTGCAGCTAGACTGACATTTGCACACACATGATTGTGAAAGGTGAACATATATTTATAAATGGGATCATGTATTTACAGTGAGTTGTCACGTGTGCCCTCAGAAGGTAGCCTTTTTCCTTCCTTCCCATTATGCCCTGGGTTCCGAAGCTGTTTTGATGGGAGCCTGCCGTAGAATGGAGCCAGTTGGCATTGGAGGTTTGGTTGGGTGACCCTGGGGTTTTCTTTTTGTCTTGACGGCCCAGAAATGCTGAGTCTATCGTGCCCAGAGGCAAGTGAACCCGTCCAGAGGGCTGTGGCAGCAGGCAGACTGCAGGTGGGGAACATGGACAGCTCTGAAGTATCCCAAATGGAGAATTCTGGGGCAGCTGTCTATGGTTCCTCCTCTGTGTGGGTACCTGCTGGTATTGCCCTGTCTCCTTGTGAGGAAGGGGCATCTGGAGTCAGCCTAAGGCCCCTCATCGCCCTGTTGCCTTGCTTTGGGTGCAGAGCACCAGTGGCTGGAGAAATGGAGTGCTGGTCTGTGCGTATGCTCGGCAGACACTGAGACTGCTGGACCTGGTTGTCCATGAAAGCTACCAACCTGTTTGTGGAGGCAGCCAGACCCACTCACAGCTGAGATGGCAGGGTCCCAGCACAATGCTGCAGTCCTACACTACTTTGTGTTAGGTTACCCAGTGCCCCTGAGAAATCAGCCTGTTGCTCCAATATCTACTTGTGCCCACACCTTGGGGTCCTCTTGTGCCTGGGGCTGAACTGGTACCTGTTCACAGGAAGAACTCCGAGTGCCAGCAGCCTGGAATGTTTCTTCCTTGGCCAGTTGCGAAGACATGGCAGTGAAGTACTCACCAGTTGATGCTCCCTACTTCAATTTAGATAGAATACCCATCGAGGTGTGAGTATCTGAGCTGGTGCGGAAGGGTGAGGGTGCAGGAGGCAGCCATGATGACACTTCCACTGAGGCATCAGTGTTCCCTTCTTTAGCAGTGGCAGAGGTCATGCCTTGGTGGGCAGGTGTCTTGGTAGCAGATATGACGGACATGCCACCGGTGCCTGTAGAACACTAAAGAAAAGGAAATGTCACAGCCAAGGGGTAGAAGTTGTGGCATTTTTAACAGTAAATGCATCTGGCAGTAATGGGAGAATAGCACAACAATGAGGAATGCTTCTTCCTGGGTGCTGGGACATGGAAGTTTTAGCAGGAGTGGTCCTGGTCTTCACTGGCCCTGCCAAGATGCTGTCCAGGAAGGAGGTGAAGAGATGAATATCTGGCATCCTATCACCCAACCTGTACCCTTCGGCCCTGTTATTGGCCATTTTTTCCTATAATGAGAGAAAGGGAGGGATTGAGAGGAGATGTAATCACAGCTGTTACTGCTGGTGGGGGTGGAGGAAAGGTGGTGAACTGTCCTGAGTGAGTGAGTAGGCAGCACGGAGACTATACAGGGTTAGTAGTATGCGGGCACTTGGAGTGGCAAGAGAGAGTGAGAGAAGATGTAGCAGGAGGTGAGTGCAGTAGCAGAGATACAGGAAGTCTGAGGTAGCAGAGAGAAGAAGGTGGCACTTAACTTGGCAGTGTGCCATCTACTTCCTGCACTGCTGGGCCTTAGTCCAGTGCATGGAGACCGCACTGACCTTGGTGGCAACCTCACACCAGGCTGGCAGTGTTTGGTAGTATGGTCTCCTCTGGGAAGAGAACAGCTCTCCTCTGCATGACCCCATCCATCAAGACCTCCAACCCCCTCCATCCACATGGTGAGGTGACACTTACCCTTTCTCAGTCATAAACTGAGTGAAATTTCTGTAAACATGGAGGGCGTCTCCAACTGCCGATGCTTGACTCGGTGCACAATGGCTTTTTAAATTTGGCGCTGGCACCAGGGATGACAGTATATCCTGGGATTCCTGGCTGTGGTGAGTACCTCTGGCTATAGTGAGTGGGAGAATCGGGCTAGCATTGGACAAGAGGGGTGTCAGGGGCATGGTATGTAGTAAATGAGGTGAGTTTGGGATGCTTCCGTGCGAACACCCACTAATGGAGAGAAACTCTTCACAAAACGTGACAAAAATGACTCTTTTCCAAAATATGGTAAAATTCAGCCCCAAGGTTCCAAACCACTTTAAGTGGCAATAATGCATTATTACAGCCATATTAGTTTCATGCAACATTCCACTGCAAACTATCTGCTCTACATAATGAAAATAGGGTCATTGATAACTTCCCTTATCTGATTAACTGATATTGGATTCATTTTAAATTCTCACAGTCTCACTTCGCATCAGTTAAGATATGCAAACAATCAAGTTCCTCACTGTAATGCTGTGCTCAGAGTTTTTGCTTTGGTGGAAGTTGTACTCGTGTAAGAGGTCAGAATTCAAATATTACACAATGGAATGCTTTAAAATATCTCTTACACAGTCACCGTCAAACACTCCCCAACTGCAACAGGTTTAAAAACATTTTAGCTTAAAGAAAACAGCCCACATGGCATCATAAGGACTTTGCTTTCTGATAAAGACCACTATTTTATTGCCAGTTTCTGCTGAATTATGTGAGCAGTATTGTTCTTTGGAACTTGTCCTTTCAGACTTAGGTTAATATGGTTCAATTTTTTTCATGTAGAGCCTTTATAGATATTTAGGAGAAGAGAACATCATCAAATCCAGACCGAATTGCAACTCTGGTCCATCAAATTTATAGACTTCTTTTATTGTATTTGTCTGTTTCTAAGTTATTGTGGTTTAGCATTTGAATATGTGGCCTGACTCAACTTGGCCAGTGCAAAGCTTACAGTCATCATAAAGGCCTCTATGATGCTGGGCCTCACCACAAACTCTTTAACCACTGATTCCATTCCAATCGGTGTCCACTATGATGCTGTGTGTCTGAGGCTGACCCAAACTGTTTGGAATCTCGTTGTCGTATTTGACCCTGACATGAGGCTTCTGGCCACATATTTGCACAATGGCTATTTCTTCTCATAACGTTGCCTGACACTGCCCATGTCTAAGCTCTACTGCTGCCAAAGGGCTCAACTTTGTTACCTCTATACTATTATTCTAAAACACTCCTGACCAGCGTTCCATCCTCAATCCTTCATAAATGTAAGGTCATCGAAACTCTTATGCCTGTGTATTGATCCACATTCAATCTCATTCACCCATCATCCTCTATGTTCTTACTTACATCCAAGCTGGGCTTGGTTTTAAAATTCATCTTGTTTTAAATCTCCTCCTCCCTTCAATCCTCTTAGCCTTTTCTTTTGTACTGGCCTCATGCACATCCTGATTTAAATACATCCACCCTTGGTGACCATGCTTTGAGTTGCTGAGTCCCCTAGCTTTGGAGCTCCCTCCTTTAATTCCTTTGCCTTGATACCTCTCTCCTTATTTAAGATACTCCTGGCGATGGATGGATTTTATGGCCTTCTTGGTTAGAGGTGGGAGAGTATCCAAAAATATGTTGATTGACCACCTTTCTGCCCACCACCAATCCAGTCCCCATAATACTGGGGAGGGAGGGGCAGCAAAGTTGCCTTGCTATGGAACTTAATAGTTGGAGTAAAAGGGTGACAGGCCACACACCCTCAGGCCTGTTGAAGCCCTTATGGCCATTTATTGTCCATTGAAGCCCCTCAGTTGTCCTCTACTGTCGCCGTACAGTGGCCAGTAGAAGGCAGATGAGATTGGGAAGGCTGGTTTTAACCCTGTCTTGGTGAATGGGGGCCAACAACTTTTGAATGGGGGGGTAGGGTACCCTCGACACATTGGAGCACCTCAGCAACAATCCCATCCCAACATTGTTCCTTCTCACTGTTCCATCCTAACCTACTTCCTGACCTTTCCCTGTCTCAAAGGCCAACCTGGCTGACTTCAGGAACCACGCAGTTGTCTCCTAAGGGGACTGCTTCACTCCTCAGTGCTGGTGCTGCATGGAACGTTAAAGCTGCTAACCATCAGCTTACCCAGTAGTTCCTGAGGGTGCGGCTCACTCCAGTAACAAGGGATGCCCATCCGCCTTCAGCTTTTATAGATAGCAAGAACTGCAGATGCTGGAGTCAGAGCCAATACAGTGTGGAGCTGGAGGAACACAGTAGGTCAGGCAGCATCAGAGGAGCAGGAGAGTTGACATTTTGGGCCTAGACCCTTCATCAGGACTAATGAACATCAGGACTCCCTCCTGATGAAGGGTCTAGGCTCAAAACGTTGACCCTCCTACTCCTCTGATGCTGCCTGTTCTGCCGTGTTTCTCCAGCTCCGCAGTGTATCGACTCAGCTTTTATAGGCTGCCTGGAGTACCTCAGGGCTGCGGCGGGCCTTGTTCAACATGGGTTGATTCGAGATGACTATTCTTCTGAGGTGGGAGGGCAGTATACCATCCCTCCATCCCTCCACCATTACCCACAATCCAATCAAATTGAGCCCCCTAAAACCTCTCTGATTCACCTTTCCTTATGTGGCTTGGCGTCCAGTTTGGTTCCATAATGGTCTTGTGAATCTTAGGCTCCTGCAATATATTACTATGTGCAAGGTGCTAAAAAAAGGCAAGTTATTGTTGTTGCATTATCATATCCAACCACCTCCCTCTCTACCTCCCTGAACATTCAGAGCAGCTCAATAATGATTCAACAAGTAACCTAATTCAAGTTGGTGAAGTCATGTCAGAACTTTACAATTCCTTCCACTTGTATATTGCAAAAATCAGACACCACTTGCAATCATGAGGCCATTTAGTCAATTGTGTCTGTGCCAGTTCTTTGCAAAAGCTGTAAAATACTCCACCTCCCCTGACTTTCATCCATGGCCTTGTACTTTAAGTACTGTAATTATCCACGGGCGTGGAGACGTTCTGTTAATGAAAGCAACTGCTTCTACCTGAATTTTTATTTGTCATTTGGTTTACTTATCTATTTAGATATTTACATTTTCCTTTAGCTGTTCCAGGCAGACTGTATCAAACTGCCTGGCACCCTAGACATAAGTACGAGCTGTCATCACTCTATCATTCAGCCTAAAATAGTTCCTTCAAAAGCATGCTTAAAGGCATGGTATGCCTTAATGAGTCCTTATTCAGTCAAATAATTAATATTATAACTCAGCACCTAGCATCTGTCTATAGAAACATAATTTTGGAGCTGTTGTGTGTTTCATGCCTAGTTGAACTAACAAACTCTTTCCTAGGTAGCACATGGGACACAGTCAAAGGTTTGTTAAACACATTTAGGTATTGCATAGTACAGCTGAGCAAGATCAGGCAGATGGAAGTGGCACAGTGGGAGCAAATGACAGAGGAGTAGTCTTTCTGGGTACTCACCAATGGATTTCTCTGTGCTTTTCTTTAACGGTCTCCTACCCCTTTAGCCATGAACCAAACATTTATACCATACTGAAATTTCCAATGGATAACTTGTTGGATTGACAGGACTTTTGTTTCTGGGCAGATTTTGCAGGAAATGCAGTATGGCTGCTCAGTGGACTGGTGGGCACTCGGGGTGCTGTTGTATGAGATGCTATGTGGACAGCCACCGTTTGAAGCTGAGAATGAAGACGATCTGTTTGAGTCCATCCTGAACGATGAGGTCCTTTACCCAGTCTGGCTGAGTGAACGTGCAATGGCCATCCTGAAAGCAGTAAGTGAAGATCCATTCCCTAACCCTTTGCTCGACGCTCAGTCAACCCTCAGGAGCAAAGTTGTCTCGACAGGAATGGAATTAATATTTCTGATCTTGAAATAGCCCTAAAATTGTGCATGCAGTATTAACCGTCTCCCTGAGGTTCATTTAGCAAATGCCATTTCTACATACTACTGATTGTTATGGCTCTGAGGAACTGTTTGCTATACTTGATTCCCTTCTGTCCTGAAGCTATTAACTGACAGTGGATGTCAGCAGTCTGTATGTTTCTGCTCTCGCCTGATATCCATAAATGTATTTTTATAGCAGCTTTAACATCAGAAAATAACTCAAGACACTTCATAGCAGCGTTATAAAACAAAGTATGGCACTAGTCCCCATTAGGAGACATCAAGTCAAAAGCTTGGTCAAAGAGCTCAACTATAAAGAGTTATTTTGAAGGGGAAGAGTGAGGTAAAGGATGTAGGTAGAGAATTCCAGACCTTGGCATAGTCTTTGGTGACATTAAAAATGAGAATAGAAACATGGAAACGAGGGACAGAAGTAGGCCATTCGGCCCTTTGAGTCTGCTCCACCATTCAATATGATCTTCTGTCTCAATGCCATTTTTCTGCTTTCTGTCCATACCCCTTGTTGGCTTTAAAACAAATATTGTATCTATCTCTTCCTTGAATATCAGAATGCTCATAAGATTAGAATTAGAGCTGGACAGAGATCTCAGAGGGTCATTGTTTTGGAGCAAATTAGCTAGATAGCGATGGGAAAACTAATGATGACATTGAAAAACAAGGATGAATATGTTAAAATTAAAATGTTGCTTATCTAGGAGTCAATTTGTGAGTGAGTACTGAGTGAGCCAGGTTCAAAACGGGACATGGGTAAACAGAGTTTTGATCGAGCTCCAGTTGAGAGTGTAGATCTCATGGTAACAAAGGTATGAGTGAAGCTTTCAGCAGCAGATAAGCTGAGACAAGGGTGAAGTCAGGCAATATTAGAAACCGATGCTCTTAGTAATGATGCAAGAATGTATTTGGAATCTCATTTTGGGATTGAACGTAACTTCAATGTTGCCAGCCGATCTGATTTAGCCACAGACAGTAGCTAGACAGAAGGATGGAGTCAGTAGCTCAGGAACAGAGCATGGCGCAGGGCCCAAACCAATGGCTTCAGTCTTCCCTTGGAGAAAAGATATTCTTATCCAAGATTGGATGTGAGATTACAGTATGATGACTTAGCAACAGTAGAAGAGTCACGATAGTTGATGGTGAGGTAGAGCTGGCCATCATCAGCATGTAGGTGAAAACTAACACGGTTTGTGAATGATATCACTGAGGAGCACAGTGTAGATGAGGAATAGGATGGGACAAGTATTGACCATCAATGGATACCATGGTGCAGAAAGAGGAAGAGAAGCCTTTGTAAATTAAACTGTGGCTAAGATTCAAAAGATAGGTATGGAACCTGTCAAGAGCAGTTCCAGCCAACTGGATGAGAATGGGGAAATGTTTGAGCAGAATGCTGTGGTCAACCATGACAAAAGCTGTTGACAGTTCAAACAGGATGATGAGGGAATTGTTACCTTTTTCACACTCATAAACAATATCATTTGTGACCTTATTGAGAGCTGTTTTGGACAGAAGTTCCAATCGATCATTGGTCTAAACTGTTGAGCAAGGTAGTCCTTGCTGGTTTCAAAAGGCTGACCCCAGTTCGAGCACCCTCAGTTGATGGCCTGACTTAATTCAGCCGTGACTCTCGGTCCAGTGCTGAGGGACTGCTGCACTGTCAGTGATGTTGCTTCCTGCTAACTGTGCATAAGTTGGCTGCTGCATTTCTTCCATTATAAAAATGACTAGACTTCAAAGTATTTCCTTGGTTACAAAGTGCTTTAAGACATCCTGAGGTATGACATAAATGCAGGGCTATCTTTTTCTTGTGATTCCGCGCAGGCTCGGAAGTGGATCTGACATTTTGTAGTGTATTTGTCGTAGTGCTGTACTGGACGTTATTTTACATTGTTTTCCTTATCAATAGGTAAATCTACCAACTAAATCAAAGGTAGTGATTCTATTGTAATTGTTTCCATTCTGACACTGGCCTTAATAAAGGTGAAAGATTCCTTACCTCATGCCTTGTAGAAGACAGCACTATAATCATTTAAATGACTGTTCAGGAAAGTACCCCAGTAGTACAGCACTTTAGCCCAGTGTAGCCTTAGTGTTTTGCACATTGTATTCTTGGTCAAATTCCTCGGGAAAATTGAACAGAGAACAAGTTATCCTCACATCTGTTGTGCACATCAGTAGATAGTCTTAGAACAGCATTGAGACTAGGATGGTCAGCAGGGAGGGTAAAGAACCTGGACAATAACCTGAATAAGTGAAAGGGACAAAGTACCACAACAAAATATGATACAGAAATAAGCGGTCAGTCATTTTTTGTTTTAGTCTCAAGCTAGGGACGCTGGTGTAACAGGGAGTGCCATTTAAACTTGAATTCTGTGTTTATTTTGTCCCTTCATTGCTATCTTTAATATTTAAATGCTTTGGTATCATTTGAGAAAAATGGAAAACCTAACTTGTACATATACCAGAATCTTTTGCCTCTAGTTTTCATAGACTATTAGTGGAGACCTTCAGCTGTGACAGAATATAACTGCTTATCAATTGTTGATGCCTCTTATCTCCCCAGAACATAAATTTCAGGCTTTTCACATCAGCCTCTTGTATTTATTTTTACATTAATTTCTTTATATTATTTCCAAATTTGATTTACTATTATTCTTAGCACATTGAGGTTTAACAAAGCATATTTTTGGTTTGTAGCAACTGTAATGAGACAAAAAGGAAGTTCAAAAGGTCCAGCTACTGAAGCTGCACAGAAGTGTTGCCCTGCTATTTTGCCAATGATACCATAGATAAACCGTTATCGCATGGTCAAATCGTGTACATTGCAAACATCACTGCATAGCACATTTCCTTTAGATAGGTCAGGAAGATAATGTATCTACATAGTGTATAAAATCCAATCTTTTCCATGAATCATCTGTTGATGCCCTGAGGTTGAGTAGGTTTGGTTCTGAGTAACTATGTTGCAACATGCTCTATTAAGACTTCCATTTTATCTACAAAAATGCACTAACATTTGAGAAACTTGCCCTCGCTTGTCAGGACCATAAGCCTGTTTGGATATCCAGTATATTTTTTATTCATTCTTCTGACTTAAGCGTTGCTGGCAAGGCCTGCATTCGTTGCTGACCCCATTGTGCTTGAGCTGTCTTCTTCAACAACTGAAGTCCAAGTAGTGTAGGAACATCCGCAGTGCTGTTAGGAAGGGAGTTCCAGGGTTTTGATCCCAAGGTAATGAAGGAATGACAATTTAGCTTTGAGGAGAGCTTGCAAGTGGTGGTGTTCCCATGTATCTGCTGCCCTTGTCTTTCTCGGTGGTAGAGGTCACTGTTTTGCAAGGTGCTTCCAAAGGAGGTTTGAAACATTGCTGTGCTGCCCTTTTTAGTGGCGCACACTGTTGCTAACGAGTCCCAGTGAAGGGTAGAATGAATGTTTATGCGGGTGGGTGGTATGCTTTCCCCTGGATGGTATGGAACTTCTTGAGCATTGTTAGAGCCAATCAGAGAGTATTCCATCACACTCCTGATCTGTAGCTTGGACAGGTTTCAGGGAGTTGAAAGGTGTTATACCTGCGGAATTGGCAGCCTGCAACCATAACGTTTTTATCACTGGTTAGTTAAGTTTCTGATCAGTGGTAATTCTTGAGATGTTAACCACAAGGAATTCAGCAGTAGTAATGATGTATATCAAGGAAGGATGGTTAGGTTCCTTCCTACTGGACATAGTCCTGACCTAGCAGTAGTTTTTAATCATGTATTGAATGTGAGTTTTGCTGGTCAAGCTAGAATTAATTACTCATCCATAGCTGCCCTTAGTAGTTGGTGGTGTGCTGCCTTCTTGTACTGCTGTAGTTCTTGGAGTGTAAGTACAGCTACAGTGTAGTTAAAAAGCGGGTTCCATGATATTGACCCATTGACAGTGAACACATGCCAATATGTTTCCAAGTTAGGATGGTGAGTAGCTTGGAGCAGAACTTGCAGTGGTGGTGTTCCCATGTATCTGCTGTCCTTGTCCTTCCAGATTGTAGTGGTCACGAGTTTCAAAGTTGCTGTTGGAGGAGACTGGCTGAGTTACAGCAGTGCACCTTGCAGATGGTACACATGATGCTATTCAGTAGATATGCTGACAGCATTGAATATTGAAGGTGCTGGATGAGGTGCCAATCAAGCAAACTGTTTGACTTGGATGTTGTCAAACTTCATGAATTTTGTTGGAGCTGCAGTCATCCAGGCAAGTGGGGAGCATTTCATCACATCCTTTGCTTGTGGCTTGTAGATAATGGATGTGCTTTGGGGAGATGGGTGTGGATTACCCGCTGCAGAATTCCTAGCCTCTATGATGTGCTTCTGTAGCCCCAATTGTGTGGCAGGTCCAGTTCAGTTCCTGGTCAATGGCAACCGTAGTGATTGTAATGAGGTCAGCCTCACAGAATGAATTCCCTGATTGGAGCTGAGGTAACCTGAGGTACTTACTGTCTGGTGCCTGATTCTGTATGAGGCAATACTATCGTCAAGGACTGTTCATGTGTAAATAAAGGGCGTCTTGGTGACAGATACTGCCTCTATGGAGTTATTTCAGTAACCCCCTGGATGTTGATTGTGAGGGTTCCATCAGCCATTATGTTATTGAATGTCAAGGGGATTTGCTTGTGTTCTGTCTTGATTGCTCTGTTGATGACACCTTCCATTATCCTGATATATATTATTGATCTAGGTTTTGATGTGCAGAGGACAATTTCCAAGTTTGCAGATGATGCTAAAATTGGAAGAATTGTAAACAGCGAACAGGATAACATGGAACTCTGAAAGGACATTGACAGGTTAGTGGTGAAGGCAGATAGCAGGCAGATGGCATTCATTACAGAAAAGT